GACTAACACAAAGGTATACACCCCCCAGGAATTATTGGCGAAAGCAAAGATGACGTTGGAGCCATATGGGTTCAAGGTCAAAGTCTTGAAAGATAAACATCTCAAAGGAATCAGCAGTAAAAAAAAAAAAAATAGTGAGGCAGTTGCTTCGTAAATTTGTTTTAGTTCTTGATTTGGACATCAACTGAAAAAATGTTGTTTTTTGTTTTCGCAGGTGCATGCCATGCAGGGCTGAGGTGGTGTTGTGGAATGAAAAATACAACGAAAAAATAACACCATCTCAGCCCTGCATGGCGTGCACTTGCAAAAACAAAAAACATCATTTTTTTTTCAGTTGATGTCCAGATAAAAAACTAAAACAAATTTACGAACTAACTACCTCACTAATTTTTTTTTTTTTTACTGCTGATTCCTTTGAGATGTTTGTCTTTCAAGACTTTGACCTTGAACCCATATGGTTCCAACGTCATCTTTGCTTTCGCCAATAATTCCTGGGGGGGTGTATACCTTTGTGTTAGTCCATTGGAACTCATCAGTCAGCTCGGCCAAAATGTGTAAGCGTTGATCCTCATACATTGACCATAATAGCACCAAGTGGTCAACATCACCCATGTTCCATACCATGAGGGGAAGGTTAGGTCACAGTATAAAGGACCTTATAAATGCTTTAAAATTGGTCTGAGTTTGGGCGAAGGATTCGGTGGCTTCTAGAAGAGGATCGGGCTCTGGATTACTTGATGAGAAACCCTTACCCTTTGATTTTTTCTTCTCTATAGGTTTGACAGCATCATGCCATTTTTGTCTTTGAAGCACAAGCTGTTTTTTGTTATCTGTGACTTCTTTCCAACGAATATAAGTATTCCTCAACCTCTTCAGTTTAGAATCTATTGGAGCACCTCCTTGAATTAACATATTAGGCTCTAAGAAAATGGTGTTCAATATGTACTCAAGGTTTGGAATGTTGGGTCCCATTGAGAGAGAAGTGCAGAAGAGATGAGAATTGAGAGTTGTGCGGAGGTAAAAAGAAGAGGATGAGAAGCCGAGAGGGTGAGTTGCAGAGGTGGGTTAGTGAGAAGTTGAGAGTTGGAGGTGAGAAGAAGAGGATGAGAAGGTGAGACTTATACAGAGATGAGTTGCAACGTGGACAAGTGGCTCAACGTTCAGTCAAGCTGCTCGCTTTGTAGATTGTCCCTCTGTATCATCAACTCTCCCTAGATATATTTAAATATACATATATATATCTCTTCATTGAATTATAATTAACTCCTCTTAGGTTTTGTACGTATATGATGATTTGAATAGCTATAAGTTTTATGAAAAATTTCGTCAATCCTAATTTTGTATTCACCGCATCTACTAATCATCTTATTATAGTTTTGAAAGTTGAGTTATTCTAGTGATGATTATTGGGTTAACGTTTGGTGTTTAGTGAATTATCCAATCCAATTTAATGTAAAGCAAGCACACTGTACATGATCAAAAACACGTAGCACCATTTGAAATGAAACTAGTAAGGTACCGCATATAATTTTTATTTACTTTTTAAAGGTAGTAATTTATATTGTTACTTATATAACTTTACATGTATGAATCCTCTTTCACTTGTCCAAATAAGTAAATCTAAAAATAAATGAGCCGAAATTGCGGTTTTGACATAGGCTATTTCCATGTTACGGGCCTATGTGACGTTTTGCAAAGGTGTATAGGTATTTCTTAACCTCGCTAGTTTTGAATCTTTTGGACCATGTCTATCAATTAACATCTGAGGTTCTGCAAAAGTGGTGCCCAACATTTGATGAAAGTGTGGAATATTTGGTTCCATTAAGGGAGAAGCAGTGAAGAAGAGATGAGAGGCTAAGTAAAGAAAACTAGAATATTTTCTTGTATGGATATAAGTTGAGTGTGAGAGAATAGAAGTTTATATGGAGGGTGAGTTAATCTATTTCTAGTGAAGCGTGGATAGTAGTTGCAAAGGTACCGCTCAAGCGAATAAGACTTTAGATTTCAAAGCTACCCCTCAATATTTTATTAGTTTTTAGTATATTCTTTAAATATGTTAAATAACTTAATTAGAGTACTATTTTAGAAGGGAAAAAATATTTTCGAATAGGATTTTAAAAAAGAAAAATATTTTTGGAATCAACTTTGTGTAAGACATAAACGGAATTATAGAGAAAATGAGAGTACGACCCTAACTGGTGAAATTGGTTTCGGATTCAATGCTCTGCATGTGAGGGGGATGAGATGATTCGACACTCAAGGTACGTACATACACAGATTTCCCAAGGCTTGCTGCTACTTCACAGACTCAGACATCATTGGGGTTGCATGCCTATGCTACCTCACAAATTTAGACATCACTGGGGTTTTGTACATATATGATGATTTGAATAATCACAGAACCACAATAGATATAAATTTTATGCAGAATTTCGTCAATATTGAATTTTGTATGTACCGCATCTACTAATGGTCTTACTTGTTTTGTTTTTTGTTTTGTTTTTTATGTACCGCATATATAGCAAAAAATGACATGGGGATTATGGGAGCAAAAATTAAGGCCCAATTAACAAGCCACTTCCCATGAACCTTAAATTTACGGAGTGAAGGGGAATCAAATAACATGATATCCACTACCATTGAGCATGGAGATAAATAAGGGATATGGGACTTGGAGTCCAAGGGTTCAATGCCTATACAAGGCTAACTAATCCCCTAGTATAGGGGGATGGAGTTATGATTGATTTTACTGCAGTATTCATGAACAAACACTGACTTGAGCGTCGGAGTGTTTTCTTGCAGGTACCCCCCCTCCTCACTCAATGGTGATAATCAAAGATGGTGTCCGACTTCTCAACATGGAAATCAAAAATTACTTGTTGGAGGATCCAAAATTTTCCGCTCCAACAGGGATCGTTTATAGTTTTGAAAGTTGAGTTATTCTAGTGATAATTTTTGGGTTCTTCTTCGCATTTGGTGTTTAGGAATTTAGTGAATTATCTAATCCAATTTATTATAAAGCAAGCACACTGTACATGATAAAAAACATGTAGCACCACTTGAATTGAAACTAGAAAGGTACAATATATAATTTTTATTTTTTTACTTTTTAAAGGTAATAATTTATATCGTTGCTTATATAACTTTATATGTATGAATCCTCTTTCACTTATCGAAATAAGTAAATCTAAAAATAAAGGAGCCGAAATTGCGGTTTAGACTTTAGAGGGTCCTATATATTTAATTTCCTTCCATGAGGAAAAAGTCCCACTGTGTCAACGTGTCTTTTGACATAGGCTCCTTTAATTTTAGTAAATGTTCATGCCAAAAAGCAATTAAACTATCATGCCTCTAAGAGAAAATTGAATCTCAAATCCCTATAATTAATTAATTTTTTTTTTAAAAAAAAAAAAGAAAAAAAAATCTACATCTTAGCCCTTTGCCTAATATTGTTGAAACAAAAAATTTAGCCCACCCTACATGTTAAATCTAGTGCATACTCTAACATAAAAAGAATTTCGGGCCACCCCCAGACAAAGTGGAGTTCCCTAAAGATGATGTCATCTCTCATGAAATAATTTTTTATCTTTGATTTAAAGAATAAGGCAATATATGCTTCAATTTTTTATTTTTTATTTAAAGTCTCATAACACCATTGAACAATTCACAATAGAGAAACCAGAAAAAGCGATCAATTGCTTACTGTGGAAAAGTAGATATCCATGATATCATAACACATAAAGCTGAGTTTCAGAATTCAGCTACGTTAATTGAAGGACAGGCAAAATTCAACCTGTGACTACTGACCAGACCCAAATTGAAGGACAGGCAAGAGGTCATGTTTCTGGTGGTTTATGAATTTATACTTTCAAATACAAGCGATCGCAGAGAAGAGGAGAATCACATCTAGGACCTTAACAAGTTATAATTTATAATTTAAACGCTCATTTATGTTATTCTCAAACTCGTGAAATTGAAGAATCTTTTTATCAGAAGAAAAAAAAAAAAAAAAAAAAAAAAAAAAAACCCCAAAAAAAAAAAAAAAAAAAAAAAAAAAAGCCCCAAGTTGCAGACCATGTGACTATAATGAATGTGGGGGAAATTTTTGGTCAAATAACAAATAGGTCATAAAATACACAAAATTCATGGTCCCCTGATCCAACGGATGAGAGTAATTAATAAAAATCAGTGGCTGTGGTTTGCCCCAACAATGGTTTTAATGGTACTCTTTTCTTATTTGGCTAAAAATAATTATTGGGATTTTTAGATTGGTGTGTACCCTTTGAATTATTAATATTAGAATTACCTATTTTAACTTGTAGTGGAATTTTTATTACCTGTCAAAGGAGTAAAATAGTTGGCGGACAAACACGACTGTAGACGGTAACTTGGAGCCGTCGTCAGTAACTCCATCTTTCATTTGTTCACTTGATAATTCATGTAGATAGAGTATCATCTTTGTCTTCCAAAAAACTGTCAGACACCTTAGAGAACGCGTCAAAACCAATATTTTGGGTGTATAATCCAACAAATATAAGTCTTAAGTAATAGTAAGTGTCCATCAATCACAACATAAATATAATAAGTTAAATTTGAAGAGCATAGGAGTTGAAGAGCAATCGATGAGAGCGGATTCGAAACCGAAACAATAAACTGAATCCATATCCACTTTAATTGGACTTGTCCAGTCCAATCCGTCTTACCAAACAACGCCTCATTATACCAGTAAATTTAGCCCTCATTCTGGATTTCAGATTTCTATTACATAATAATAATAATAGGCATCAGTAACCTATGTAATAGGCTCTAAATCCAAATTTTAGCATACAGTTTTCTTTCACTTTCAGAGCATACAGACAATGTTGCTTGGAAAAATTAGAATAGATGATGTCAAACGTAATGTTGAGATCAAACCATAATCCAATCGTACAAGATTTATTTTTATCACCAGCAGCTAGTAGCCTAGCACATCAGTTGTTCAACAGTTGAGTCTCGGTCGGTCAGTCAACTACAGCAAGAGCTTGATACTCTTTGTCAGCGATGACTGCTTCCATGAGATGGTGCGGCCCGATTTCCCCGCCATTGTCCAAGAAGGACTTAACCAAATGACCGGAGAAGCCACTCAACCGCGTGAACCCTGGATGTTGTGTACAAATCCAAGAATGCGGGATACTCCAATCTTCACAAACATCCCAAAGTACAATGTGTGGCACCGCATCGTCTCCGTACCCCTTGTCCTTATACTTACTCCGTATTGACTCAACGTCGTTCACTAGTTGATCATAGTGCCAAACCGAGGTGCAAATCCAACCTGGCTTCAGGCTTTGGAACACAATCACCTTCTTGATCATATGCTCTGCCTTCAAATTCGCATTCACACCCACCTCCAAAATTAAATCAATTGCCTTCAAAAACCCAAAGTAGTCATCGGATTTCCTCATCAACTTGCACTTGGACTTAAGATCATGCCCTTCGCCTTGTATCCATTCCGGCTCATCTTCATCTCCACCAATGAACTTTCCTTTCCATGGCTCTTCACTCAGTTCAGACATGAGAAATCTCAAACACGCAGCAAAATTGTTGGGTATACCGCCCACCACCAACCAGTTTTTGAATTTGCCCAAACCCTCCCCCTGCTTTTGCTGCTGCTTTAGGTACATGTCCACCATTGCCTTCCACTGAAGCTCGGCCGCCGCTTCCCCAACATCCTCATCTTCTTCGTATACGTAGTCTATGATCTCATTTGGAAGCAAGGCATCGGGATTTATTATGCCAGTACCTCCTCCTGCTTTCACCTCCTCCAAATACTTCTTAACCCAAAACTGTCGGCTTTCCGACACGCGTCGACGCTTGTAGTAATTGGTCAAGGGCACCAAAAAGTCCTTCCTTAGGAGTTCCCACTCTTCTGATGGATCTGATTCTGGCGGGAAGAGCCTCCTCGCAATGCTTTCACGCAGAAAAATGGCGCGGGCGCGATGGTCATCCCACTCGTTTTTTGAAGTGCAACACTCTGCAGCCGAAACTTTGCAGGGGCGGTGGTATTCACTCATGGCGTATTCACGAGTGACGTAGTCCTCATCATCATCACTTAAATAATCAGATGGCTCCAATTCGAGCGTGTGCTGCTTCATTTTCTCGATATCAGACTTGAGCTGCTCCACAAAAACATCTATAACGCGGTCGTGAAACAACCTATAATCTGGGTCACGGTCGTACCTCTCAGGATGAAGATTCAGCAGATCCGCAGCAGCGTCGTTGTATTTGCCTTGGCCGCCTTGCTTCTGAACCAGAAGGACGTACAGAATTTGGACAAGGGCATAGAAACTCCCAGCCCCGGGCAAGTCAGCAATGGAGTGGAGGTTGTGTAACAGAGTGTTGGGGTGGTTCTGGTGGAGCCAAAGCACGGCCGTGTCCAACTTTTTTAAGAAAAAACCGATAGACTCGGCGCTGAAGATAAGCTTGAGAGTGGCAAGGGGATTGTGGGACCAGGCCAAGGGAAGCATTTGTTTTAGATATGTAAGGCATTGGTTAGTATCTCTGTCGTCCGGTATGAGGGCGTTGAAAAAGAGATCAAGGCAGGGGTCACCGTAGGACGAGGGAATAAAAGGGAAGTTGTTGTTGGCGATGTCAGCGTTATGGTGGGAAGTAGCCATTAAAGGGAAGCTTCTTCTTCTGCTGCTTTGGATTGTTTGGATTGGGAATGGGGTTGGTGTGGGTGCAGCTACTAGTAATTTGGCTTTGCCGGCGACATTGACAAGGTTTGGGAGGCATCCTGGTTTGTTCGGAATCGCAACAACCCTACTCGCCCTCGTCAAACAGTACACTTGACCCCTCGGCACCACTGCGTTATTCATCTCCCTCGTCTCTTTTTCTCTCGTCTTTCTTTTGATAGATATATATATCCCTGGGAGAAGCTAGGGTTCTTATTCAAAGAAGCTTGGTAGGTACCGAGGAGTAAAAGGCCTTCTCCACTGTGGATCCTGACGTGGTCATAAGGATGGAGCCCATGGCCTAGTAGTTGTTGGCGAGCCTTTTACTCAGCTGGACCGCATTTCATCAGTAAAATAAATAGATAAATATAAGAAAATAAAATCCAACGAAACTGCCCGTTTTATCTTGTAGAAAAGGAAAGGAAAATCCTTGGTCCCCAAGGCAATAAATCTTGGAACAAAAAAAGGGAAATTTATTTAACTTTGTGTCCCATCTCGGCCAGCCCAGTTAGAACAGCCAGCTGTAATTCAAAGCTTGCATGCCTCTTCTCAATTACAAATCATTTGAACTCAAGGTGTACCATCACCGTTATTCTCAACACTTGAAATGTATCCATGATCATAACCATGATTTTATAAATACAATAAGTAAGAGAGTTAACTATAGTTAGGCCCATGGACACGTATGTTAAGAATGGTGGTGAAGATATACATTAGATTAAAGTGGTGAGAACAAATGTTTCCTACCAATACCAATATATAGTGCGACTCTAATTGAGTTTGGGGACACTAATTAAGCCTAATATCAATCCATGTAATAATATAATAAAAATACTTGATACACATACCAGTTGTCCATAGTTTTTTCATTTTCAATGCAGACGATATTGATAGCTAGCTACTTAGGAAACAATTCAAATAAGTTAAAACAGGAAAACTAATAATAATAATCAAGATTTCTTGCTTGATACTGTTTGTCAGCGATGGCGGCATCCATGACATGGTGCATGCCAATTTCGGAATTAGAATTTAGATAATGGAGGTAAGTCTTCAAACTTTGAACATATCTAACATGACATCACCAAATCAGTGAATACTACACAAAATCTGTATAAAAACACATGAAGTCAAAAAAAATAATAAAAAAGCAAATATTAACAACAATAGATCATTACACAATTTGGGGTGACCCTAACAACAATTGAGGAATTGATTGCTTTTGTTAGAGACCAAAGCAAGTGTTTCTAAAACAGAGAATAAGAGAATAAAAGTTTTTGAATGTTGGATGCCCATTTTTACTTTTTCTTCATCTTCCTCTGTTTCCCTATAAACAGAATCAGCCAAATATCACCACAAATCAAATGTATGGTAGTTAATTAAATGCCAAAGTAAGAAGTGCAAAGAATCATTGAGCATACAAAAAACAAAAATATGAGTCACCACTTGTAGAAGATTAGCCCTTTGCCGGCAGCTCCTTTCACTTACAAACTCCTTGGTGTTCCAGTGCCACAACAACTTCAGTACTTGCTGCACAATCCAAGCTCTTCAGTACTCGATGCAAGCTATATATTGGTATTTGTTATGGGTTGCTATAAAAGGAAATTTTCATTCTTAAAAGTCTGCATGTACGAATCTACAAATGAGTTGCAAAATTTCCACAAATATCAAATCAAACCACAGCTTAGTGGAGGCTTCAATTTTGAAGGAAAAAGAAAAAAGAAAAAAAGAAAAGAAAACATACGTTTCTAATTCAACCGGGCATTTCGAGGGGATGCTTCTGACGCAGCCTCCTTCACATTTGCCACCAAAGCCAAACATTAAATGCAAAATGCGATTCAAATGATTGAAACAAAATTAGAAAAAAGCAAAATAAATGTGATAAAAGAGTGACGCTTTGGAGTAAAAGGTGAGACCTTTGGCAATTTGAGGATATGGTTCTTACCTAAAATACTTTGGTGAAGTTGCAAAATCACCTTTGTCCCCATGCTCAAACCCTTTAACAACAAAAAAAAAAAAAAAAAAGCAATGAAAGAAAATTTTCATTGTAATTCCAAGCACATGCAAGAAAGAACAAAGGCTACTAGATTTCAATCCAACATAATTGTAGAACAAAGACTCAAACTTTTGCTTTTATGTCCTTGAGTTTCCACAGAAGCCCAAGTGATTTCAATAAAAGGTACTAATGCTATTAAGTGGGTGACCTCAAACGCCCTTATAAGCATAATTATTGAACTCCTACCCACAAAACAACAATATAATGTTTAAAAAGATGAAATTTTCTGTTTTTCTCTTGCATTTTCTTAGCAAACAAATAGAGGGTAAGTAGGTTTCTACATATTTTATACAATGTTAAATCAGATTTTTTGTTTGAATGATCTTCTATTGAACCAACCATATTTCCTTTAGATACAAACGTATATTAAGCTCCTGGGGTTCATTATCTACATGTTTAAATAGAGAGAAACAGAGAGATCTTGCCTGCTAAATAATTTTTTGTTTGAGATCCTCGGAGAGACCGCCGGTCCCAGACAATTGATCATGTAATCGTCGGACGGCTGTCGTTGAATCTCAGAGGAGGCGCGATGACAGGACCCGCCCCGGAATTTCCCCCGAGACCGGGGCGGACCCCGTATTGTTGCCGACATCATACCGATGCCGGGCCCACTTACTAAAACCCAAGACAATCTACCAAAATTTTGGCAGAGTCTCCCCTGTAAAATGCTCAAACCAACAACAAACAACCTGCAATAATTTACATCAATACACAACCCAACTGCCAGCATGCTTTTACAAACTACAATCCAACACAAATGGCCTCCGGCCTCAAGTAGTAGCCTAACATGGGCAATAACAGAGCGTCTACAGAATTTGTTTACAACAAACAGGGGAGTAGAAAGAATTTATACAGACCCTATTAACAGACGACAAGTTCGGAGCTCGTGACTTGCTCGAATGCCTTCAGGAGCAACTACTGTCTGGGGGGCGCAAAACAGAAAGATGTGAGTGGACAGAAATAAAGTTTCACTTTAAAACAACATAGTAACCCCACCATGTAAAAATAATGCTCTAGCATGCAGTTTCACAATTCAGAAACCGAAACTCAAACACAAAAATCCC